GTGCTTTTTTACTGGCAAACCTGAGATAGAGGTAATAGCCCAAGTATGATTATACCCAATCTTCAGATGATAAAACAGTATCAAAGGTGAAGTAGCAGCAAAGTAGTAGAAAGAGTGGTGGATGTGGGATCAGGGGACTTAATTTTGAATCCTGTCTCTGCCACTTACTTAGCTGTGTGACCTTAGGCAAGTTACCTGGCCCCTGGGTTTCTTCTCCTGTACAATAAGGGAGTTTGGACTCAGGGATCTCTGAGGGCCTTTAGAATCCTAGTTTGATGATCCTATAAAGGGATTTTCCCCCAAGTCATACAGCTAGGAAGTGTGGGAGATGGTGTTTGAGTTTCGGTCCACTGTTCTGTCTCTCACACCCCCACTGCCTCTGAAGGTGGGGGTGTCATTAGCCCAGCCCTAAACGGTATGGGAGAATACAACAGAATCAGCATATGCAGACCCTGCCCTTTTAGAGCTAAATGACAACTACTTTCCCCCACCTCGGTGCCTTTGCTCACCCTTTTTTCCTGTTTGTCATCGAGGCAGGATGGTACAATGGAAAGAGCTCAATAGTGAGAGGGCCGAGGTTCAGATACCACCTGTCACTGCCCATGTGACTGTGGGTGAGTCACTTCATCTCCCTTGGCCTCAGTACCTCATCTATAAAATGAAGGGTCCGGGACCAGGACTCTAAGGTCCATTCTAGTTCTAAATCCATGACCCCAGGAGTGCTTTATTTGTCCTCAACAGATGTCTGTTTAAATGCCAGTCTTACCACTCAATCTCTGCGTGACCTTGGACACTTAACATCTTAGTGCCTCAGTTTTCTCCTTTGAACAGGAGGAGATGGCACTCACTGCTCAGACAGCATGGCTCATATTTAGAGCCATGTATGATCCTTCTCTCCTTCCTAACTCATGCTTAATAACCTCGATGACCCCTTCTCTTCTCTCCCCAAGCCCCCTTCTCTGACTCCCAGGACTAATCTCTTTCTTCAAAGCCCCTGTCCTGTCTTTCTCACTGGACTGTGAGCTCAGCAAAGGCTGAGCCCCTTTCCCATTGATTATGGGTCTTCTTCACTCGTGACTAATTGAATGGAAGCTTGGATGAAAATGAATTGAATCAGTTTGAGTCCCCAAGCATTACTATCACATCTCAGAGCCCATCAAGTCCTGGCTGGCTACCTCCTTTGAGCCGAGGTTCCCTCCGTGTGCAAGATGGGAATCTTAGGAGGGTGTAGCCAATTTCTACCTTAATTCAGAGCTTCTTTTGAATAAAGAATAATTTCTTCCCCAGTGTTCCATGTGTCTTGGGGGCAGAATGGCATTTCAGATTTCATAGCACTGGGCTTAGAGTCAATAAGATATGAATTCAAATCTGGTCCTGTCAGACACTTACCAGCTATGTGACCTTGGGCAATTCACCTAGCCTCTGTTTACCTCAATGACCTATTAAATGAAAGGGTTGGACTCTTGGGTCTCTGAGGTACCTTCCAGATGTAAATCTACCATCCTATGATAAGTACACTATAGGTGTTCCACATCAGGGAAAGTCATGGGAGGTCATGGAAGCCTGCCTAGAGGAGGCGCTATTTGCCATGGGCTTTAAAGGATTAGTGAAAAGAGGGAAGGAAGAATTGGCAAAGGGATTGAGCAAAGGCATGGAGATGGAAAAGTACAGGGTGATTTTAGTTGACAGAGTGGTCCAGTTTGTCTGGAATATTGAGTTCCTAGAGGGGAGTCATGCCCAGCAAGACCAGAAAGTTAGGGTATCAGATTTGGGAAGGTCTTGAATGTCAATCAGAAAAATTTGAATTCCACTCAATAGACCTTAATAGGAAGCCTTTGAAAGTCTTTGAATAATGGAGTGGTGTGATGAAATATGTGCAGGAGGAAGATTTTTGTAGTGGGGGTCAAGACAGATTGGAGTTGGGACAGAGCAATGGTGGTAAGGCTGACAAAGAGATATGTGAACATTCATGGATATTCACATATAACTAGGAGGATTCCTTCCTTAGTCACATGCTTTGGGGATGATTGGAATAATAATAATAACAATAATGATCGAGGTAATAATTACCATTTATATCATGCTTAAAGGCTTGCAAAGGGATGTACATATCACTTCATGTGATCCCTTCAACAGCCCAGTGAGGTAGAAGCTATGATAGTGCTCATTTTAAAAGGAAACTGAGGCTGTACCCAGTTAGTATCTGAGATGAGATTTGAACTCAAGCCTTCCTGATTCCAAGTCCAGTGTTCTTACCTACTATGCCACCTTCTATTGTGCAGATGTTCAGAACCGAACTGGTGTGAGTTGCAGTGGAAAGAGAAAGTCCTGGGCTGTAAGCCCCAGTTTCCTTATCTGTAAAATGGGATGGCATAATTCCTCTCCTGCCCTCTCCCTGAGTAGTGTGAGGATTAGAGGACAGGATGGTCAGGACACAGCTTGGAAACAGGAAACCCCAGGTCCATGTGGGCTGAGAGGTTACCCTCTGCCATCTTCTCTTTCCTGTAACCTTGTCATAGTTTACGTTCTCTTTAACAGCCCCAGTTCTAAGGCTATCTAGCTTCCTAAAACAGTCAGCGTCCTCAACCCAGTAAATGTTTTGTTGAATGAGGTTTTCATTGTCATCAGTGACCCCTTCCCCTTTCCCCCTTGACTTCCTCACCTGTGGCTTCTCTGCATTTCTGAGGCGGCAAGATTGAAATCCAGGCTGGGTCAGGGAGGAGGAGCGGGGCAGGGCGAGCTTTGTGTACATGACCTCAGTGGGTACCAAGGGCTTCCCTGGAAGTATCAGTTCTCAGAAATGAGGGGGCCCAAACCACAATGCTGGTTCACCAAGTCCCAGCTGCTCCCCTGAGCCTTCTCTGCTGAGCAGGCACCCCAACCCCCAGCAGCCAGAACAACAGATGCTGTTCTCTGCACACCTTTCCCTTTTTCTTTCTTAGTCCCTAGTCTTAGTGATATTCCCACACACTTTAGAGCCTTTGGAGGTCGTATAACTCATCCCCCTCAATTCAAGGGGAGAGAATTGAGGTCCCAGATTGGGGAGGAGTGTTACACAAAGTCATCCTGTTGATAAGTTGCAGATCTGGGATTTGAACCCAGATCTTCTGACTGTAAATACAAAATGCTTTCCTCATCACCACATTTCCCCTCCTCCCAGTTAGCCAATCAGTAGCAATAATCTACTCTCTGTCCCTACATTCTTTTTTTTGGGGGGGCAGAGAGGAGGGCAGGCAATCTAAGTTAAGTGACTTGCCCAGGGTCACACAGCTAGTGAGTATCTGAGGCCAGATTTGAAGTACATTTTTGAGTATCATAGAAATTCCTTTGCTAGGCAACTTGGCAAGGGCTTCATCTTGGAGAGCATTAAACACCAAGTCAGAAGGCTTCAGGTTCAAACTTTCCTTCTAGCTATGGGTTATGGAACATTAAACAAGTTCCTTTCACCTCCATGGACTTTCCTATCTCTCTCTGTAACATGAAGGGTGTTGCCCAAAGGATGTTGGAGGTATCTTTCACTTCTGACATTCTCTGTTCCAAGGTCCCTGCCAGCAATCCTCTAAGATAGCAGCAGTAGTAAGACAGTAGCTGGTAGAGAAGAAAACACTTTCAGGGGTTTGATAGACATAAGGAGACCAGCTGGGATGTAGTGGAAGGGTCTGTTTAGTTCCCAATCATCAATATATGGCATTTCAAGCCTTTCCAGCCCCTCATGGGGCAGAAGACTTGGCTTTTTAGTGACCTGGCTTTGGCCACCACCCCTGGGAGGCTCTGAGGGCATACGTGTAGCCAGCCACAGACCTCCCTAGGAAGTGCAGTTTAAAAGGCTCTGACCCTGGTTGATGCAGAGGAGTGAGACCCCAACACCTCAGATGAAAATAAGTTGCCAGCTGCAGGTGGTTGCACGGGGTACCAGGTGGGGTGCCACTGCCCACAGGGCCTCAGGGTTGCATTTACTCCAACTGTATCACCTGCTCGTGGTATTCTGGTTTTGCCCAGCAGACTGGTACCATGTGACCCCATGTTGTTACTACTGCAAATTTTTCTCTCTCACCAATTGGGGAACTCCACAGGTGAAGATGGGCAGTGACAGGTCAGGAGAGCTGTGTGAGCAGAAAAAGAGAAAGAGTCAGATATAAGAGATGTAGAGGGAGAAATAAGGAGATTCAGTCACTGGTTGGACATTTGGTGGAAGGGAGAATGAGGAGTCAAGAAAGGAGAACCTGCTGCCACTGGCAGAAACATGGCTAGACAGTAGTGAATCTGAAAAAGATCTGGTGGTTTTAGTGGACTGCAAGCTTAATATGAATCATGTATGATATGACTGCTAAGAAAGCTACTGTTGTCGTGGTATATGATTGTGATGGAATACCACTGTGCTGTAAGAAATGATGAGCTCAGTGATCTTAGAAAAAACATGGATAGACTTGTGTGAAATAAAGAAGACCAAAAGGAACAGAACGAAGAAAATGTGCTATACAGCAACAGCAATATTGTTTTAAGAACAACTTTGAGCAAATAATTTTGACTATTATAAATATTCAAAAGAACTACAAAGGACACATGAAGGAAAATACTATCTGTATCCAGAGAAGTGACAAATAGAAGTATGTATAGAATGATTTTACATAGATATGTATTTATATACACACATATTTGTGTCTAATAGTAGCCAGCTTGGGGTGTGGGGTGGGGGGAGAGTGGAGGGAAGGGGAAAAAAAAAGAAATTTACATAATATCTTTATTGTATTTTTAAAAGGAATAGCAAGTTATACATAATAGATTTGCAGTTTCATGTGCAATCATAATTTTTTATTATACTATGTTATAGAAATGCTTGTTTCATTCCATAAATTAAATTTTTTTTTTTAAAGCTAACATAATGTTAGGTTGTATTGAGACACGTGGTATCCAGATCCATTATAAACTGCTCTATTCAGACCAGCTTACCCACTGTCTTTCTTTCAGGAGCTAATTTACCTTTTTTGCTCTTCTTGTAGGAACTGGTCAACTTAGTACTTCATGAGGAATTCCAGAGGTGCCAGGAACGCAGAGGAAGGGGCACCCTAGACCATCAGCCCCACTGCAGCCCAGTCATCCTGGATGTATGCTGTGGCTCTGGGGCGATCGCCCTCAGCCTCCTGAGCAGACTGACCCAGGTGAGCCTTCCCAGCCCTGCCTCCAAACCCAAAGAGTCACCTGGCCCATCGGGTGCACCTTGCTTGTCTTTGGCCCATGGGGGAGACAGTGCCGGGACACAATGAGGTTTTCTGTGACCAGCTGGTGCTGTCTCTCATCTGGTCACTCCCTGGACTTTAGAACTCACCGCCTTTCTTCATTCTGACCCTTCCTTCAGAAGCCCCAAGATCTCAAGGTTTTGATCTGTGAAATAGGGAAATATCAGCTTCTTTTGCCTAGCTCCTCACTTCCTCACTTGCCTGTGTTTCCAAATGTGTGTGTGTGTGTATTTATGTTTGCATAGTGTATATACACATATACATGTATAATGACTGTGTGCCTAGATTTATGCACACACATGTGTATTTATAATTATGTGTATAAATAGATGCGCTTTCCTTTATTTGTATGTCACTAACTTCCCAGGGAATCATTTTCCACCCCTCAACCCCTCTGCCCCAATAAATCCCTCTCTTACAACAAATAAGTACAGTCAAACCAATACAAAATTAAAGGTGTATGCCTCATTCTGTACCCGTAGTCCACCACCTGAGGAGACCTGCTTCAACATCAGTTCTCTGAAGCCATTATGATACATTGTATTGATCTCTCGATAATTCTTGAAAAACTAATAGAATCTCAGAGTTGCACAAAACTCTTGAGATGACCTAGCCCAGCCCCTACACGAGGCTGAATTCCTTTGATACCATCCCTGGTGGCTGGCAGTCATCTGGAGTTAGGGAACTCATCCCTTTCCGAACAACCCATTTTACTTTGGGACTGGCAGCTTTTATAAACAATGTAATTACTGGGTCCTTTCTGCATCCTTTGAGCCAGAATCTCTGTGATTTCTTCCTTGTCACTCCTAGCTCTGCCTTCTAGGACTGAGCAGGAGGACAATCCTGATCTCCTAATTTCTGTCCTTCTGTGGCAGAGCCGTGTGGTTGCAGTGGACAAAGGTGAAGAGGCCGTGCAGCTCACCAGAGAGAACGCTCAGAGGTGCTGGGGGCAGGACGCATGAGCTGGGGACCGAGGGCAGAGGCTAGAGACACCGAAGCCAAGGCCTTTAGGGTCCTAGCGCTTGGTGAAGAGAGTGGGGCAGGAGATCCTGAGAGGCCCCACGCTGGGCTCCAGGGGCATTTCCCCTGGCTGGGCTCACACAGCTGCCTGTGATGAACCTTCGCTGTGCTCTTCATCACCCTTTCCTCAGTGGTGACAACTCTTTCTCCCTGGTGGATAAACCCTAAAAAACACACAAGGGGAAGAAGGGAAAGAGGAAGTAGATGGTAGAACTGGGAATCAAGATATGGTACTAACAGTGGGAGGAAAAGGGAGGCAGAGAACTAGGTACTGGGTATGCATAATTTCTGAGCCTAGAATGCTGAGTAAGCTCAGGGGCCAGAAACATTAAGTCTCAGTCTAGGGCTTAGAGATTAGTAGAGTTCAGCAATTAATTAAAAAAAAAGAAAACAAATAAAACCTCACCCTGTGCCTGAGAGAAGGGTCCCTGAGATTGGTTCCAAGGAAGAGCTAGAATTGTGGGCAAGCCTAGGGCCCAGGGCTAGATCCTTTGCAGGCCTTTTGGCAGAAGTGACAGGCAGTGAAGAGTCAATGGTATAGACTTCAGAGCATCCCAGATTTAGAGCTAGAAGGGACCTTACAGGCTGCCTAATCCAACCCTCTCATTTTACAGGTAAGGAAACTGAGGCCAGAGGTCACACAGATAGTGGCAAAAATGGTATTCCCACCACCCAGGTCCTCAGACTGCAAATCCTCAGACTACAGCATCTACTTTGCTTTACCATGCTACTTTGCCTAAGAGCTGTTGTTTGATAGGGTGTCCGTGGCCTCTACTGAGTTCCTAGAGCTCACTAGAGCAGTGAGCTCTTATTTCTATTGTAGCAGCGACATAGCATAGTGGACAGAGCGCTGGGCTTGGCGTCAGAAGACCCAGATTCAAATCTTGCCTCCACTGCTTACTGCATGACCTGGTCAAATTAATTTCCCTGAGCCTCAGGCAACTGTCTAAGACTTATCTACTAAGACTTATCTAAACTGAGGGGTTGCAATCTATGCCAGCTATCTTTACTTAGGAGTTCCCCCATCATAATGAAGTCACAGATGCCTTTATATAGTTGTGTTGTCATTATTGTGAAAACTGCCTGCTAAGCTTGGTAATAACCCTCAACCTTCAGTCCTTCACTCTGATTTGTGTCTGGTTTGGGACACCCCATCTTAGGAAGGACAGACATCTATCTACAGGTGTAAGTAAGTCATCGACTCAGATACACGGGAAATGGACAAAAGTAAAGACATTTTACACATTTGTATAGGGCTCTGGATAATAATCTTGAGTGCTATGTCATAAGCAAAGCACTTATTTCTTAGAGAAATTTGACCAGTTCAAAATAGTCAACCATAATAAGGTGGCCAGAAGAATCCAGAAACTTCCTGGGTCAGCAAATTTTTGCTCTGCTTGCCAGGCAGAAAGACTAGAAGTCAGGGGTAACACTGGCTTAGGGTATAGACTTTGCAAAACAGGAAGGAAGTTGCCGCAAGATCATAAGCATTATCATGTCACAAAGCAGGTAAAAGGGAGAGGAAGAAAACAAGCCTGCAAGGAACGTGGCGAAGCCAGATCATCACAAGGGCATTGTGAATGTAACCGAAAAAGCTCCACAAACAGACATGAAGTAGAACAGGTTGGTGTAGCAGAAAGGGCACTGGTTTTGAAGTTAGGAGATCCAGATTTGGCTACTTCTCCTCTACGTCTCAGTTTCCTTATCTGTTAAAGGAAGGTAGACAAGATTAATTCTAAGTTTCCTTCTAGAGCTAAATCCTATAATCCTACACATCAAAGATTCTTAGCCTGGAGTCCATGAACTTTAAAAAATATATGAATTTTGGTAACTTACAAATAATTGATTTTCTTTGTAATGCCATGAATTTATTTTATGTGCTTAACAACATTATTCTGAGAAGAGGTCTCATAGTATCACCAGACTGCCCAAAAAAGTCCACGACGAGCAAAAAAGGTTGAGAATCTCTGCAGTAAGCGAAATCTGCTGGTATTTCTGTAGCCATCTGTTCTCCTCAGTGACAATAGTGAAGCCACTGCATTTGGAAATTACCACCTTGGGACCTGGTGGTACCAGGAGGAAAAAATGGTGGTGGAACTTAATAAGAAGTTTGGAATACTGTATCTGAACAAATGTATGCATAAAAAAAAAGTTTTTGTAGGAGGTACCATGATTTTGAAGGCTTTCTGGGAATGATTTTAAAGATATATCAAAATGGAGAAGCCAGAAGAATAGAAAAGATCATAGAAGGTGATTGAAGGGGCAACTGAGAGGGAAAAAACATCAGTAATTACAAAACCATGCTCCTGCTTTCTCATCTTTGAAATATCTTTATGAGACTTGCATTGAAGGTGTCCTTGATAAAAATAGAAGGGTTGAGGAGGAACTCCATTGCCGACCACCATCTTCAGAGTCAAACTGCTGAGAGTTGTAGATAATGTTAGAGCACATGGTGCCTACTATTTGTAGATCACATAAATCATTTGCCTGAGCAAAAGGCAACCTTAACAGCTCCCAGGCAAAGTTTCTCACTTGTATGGAGAATTCCATGATAGACATTAGACCATAAGTTCCTTTTTGCTTTTGTCAGAACTTAGGATAGTGCTTAATATATAGTAGGAACTTAATGTTTACTTCCTTAGGGAATGGTCACTCTCCTCATTTTTATTTGACATATTTCTGGAAATACTAGCAATACTAACAAGATAAGAGAAAGAAATTTTTAGAAGCATAAAGATAAATAAGGAAGAAATAAAACTATCCCTATTTGTTGACAACATTGTGGTTTAGTTAGAAATCCTAGAGAATCAGCAGAGATACTAATTGAAACAATTAGTAGCTTCAGCAGAGTCTCAGGCTACAAAATAAACCTTCAAAAATCAACAGCATTTTTATATAATAATAACAAAATCTGAGAGGCAACAGTAAAAAGGGAATTCCAAATGACTTTAAGATGCACAAAAATATCTGGAGATCAAACTATTAAAACACATAAAAGACTTGTACAGATTCCATTACAACATGTTCCTTAAAGAAATAAAGAACAACTTAATTAGCTAGAGGTCTATTGAGTGCTCATGGCTAGGACTTGCCAATATAATAAAAACCACAATACTATCAAAATTATTTTGTAGTTTTAATACTATATCAATCAAATTACCAAAAGGGTACTTTACAGAACTCAATAAAATAATAAAATTCATTTGGAAAAATAGAAAATATAGAATATCAAGGGAAATAATGAAAAGAGGTAGGGATGAAGTGGGGAGAGTACTTTGAGACCTCAAACTAAAAGCAGCAGTCATTCAAAACCAATTGGTGTTGGTATCAGTATAAGAGACTGGACAAGAGAGAATCAGAAACAATGTCACTCAATAACTCACTATTCAATAAACTGGAAATATAAGTTACTTAAGGAAGAACTCCCTCTTGATAGAAACTGCTGGGAAACCTGGAAAGCAGTCTGGCAGAAATTAGTCTTAGACCAACACTTTAGACCATATTCCACAAAACATTCCAAATGGATATATAACCTTAATATTAAAGATCATGCTATTTTTTAAAAAACACAACTAGAAGAGAAGTAGGTCATATATTTTTAGCAATTATGGGTAAGAGCTGTTTTCTTAACCAAACAAGATACAGAGACAATTACAAAGGACAAAACAGACAGCTTTGACTACAGGAAATTGAAAAGCTTTTGTACAAATAAAATTAATACAAGTAGGACAAGGAGGGGAATGGTTGAATGAGGACAAAATCTTTGTATCAGATTTCTCCGATAAGAGTTTGGTATTCAAGATATATAAGCAATTAACAAATAGGTGGACAGATAGATAGATAGATAGATAGATAGATAGATAGATAGATAGATAGATAGATCAAGTCTAAAAGCCAATCCATGATAGATAATTAGTCAAAGGATAAGAACAAACAGTTCTCAAAAGAAGAATTGCAAACTATTAATAACCATAGGAAAGAATATTCCAAAACACTAATAAGAAAAATGCAAATTAAAACAACCCTGAATTTTCACTTTATACTCTGAAAATTAGCAAAGATGACAAAAGATGAGAATAGTAAGTGTTGGAGGGGTTGTGGGTTGATAGGCATACTGGAGCTTTGTAGAGGTAGCTGTGAGTCAGAACAGCCATTCTAGAAAGCAGTTGGAAATTATGCAAATAAAGTGACTAAAATATCCACACCCTTTAGCCTAGTGGGCAGGAAGGAGGTGAGCATTCCCTAAGAAAGCAAATTCCACTACTAGCTTTATAAAAACCCCAAGGAAGCCATTGATAAAAAAGGAAATCCATATATACCCACATATAGCAGTACTCTTTGTGATAGCAAAGAATTGAAAACAAATGATGCCTGTTGATTGAGAAATGGCTAAACAAATTGAGGAACATGAATGTGATGGAATACTGTTATACTCCAAGAAATGACAAATATGAATACAGAGGAGCACGGAAAGACTTACATGAACTGATGCAAAGTGAAGTAAGCAGAGCCAAGAAAACAATATACACAATGACCATAACAATGTAAATGGAAAGAACAACCAGAAAAGCAAACAAACAAAAATGGATGTTGTGAATTTGCAAAGAACAAGCTTAGCTCCAAAGAAGAGATATGAGAAGACATCCTCACCCTAACCCTCTGACAAGGAGGGAAGTCCACTAGTGTGGTACATTACACATATCTTCAGACTTTTTTGATGTGTTGATCATTTATGCTGATTTTTTCCTATTCTTTTTGGGGATTTTTGCCCTTTTGTCTATCCCATATTATTTTCTTATATGGGATGGTTCTCTGAGAGAGGAAAGATACTAATGGGGAATTGTGGCAATGTAAAACGGCAAAAGACATCAATAAAACTTACTTAAATATTTGCTTACTCATTTGGTTGACAAATACTATTCCAGACATAATTTGTTCAGTGTTTTGCTAAGTTTCATAATACACTCATCAAAGTTGTTGGCCAGTATTTTGGGGAATGTTCTGTACAAAGTCCAAAATGAAGGTAGATTTCCTATTGAAGGAGATGTTCTGTTGATTCCCCTGTTTGCTGTTTACAGAACTAGTTGTATCATGCCCCAGAGCACTTCAGGGTCTCCTCAGTGAAATTTACAACCTCTGAGTAGAAATTAACCCAACCATCCACACTGAAGAAACCAAATGGATGAAGAACTAACCTTACCAAGATTATGGCATGCAGCTGAATGGGCAGACCATTGGATTAGTCTACCAGTGCATATATTTGGAAAAGCTCTATAAATGGGCAAAAATCCAGACCCAGAAGCAAACTGGAGGATGAAAGCAGACTGAATTGCATTTGGAAAATTGTGCATACCTTTGGTATTCCCAAGCTTCTCCCTGCTACTGAAATCCATCTTTTTAAAAGACCTGTATCTTCCCAGTGATACTATGTGGTTTTGAATCATGATGAAACATTGTGATCCTAGAATTAAAATCATGACCAAAGTTTCAACTCAAAGTTAGAAAGAAAAAACTTCCCAACAATTAGCTGTCATGAAGTGGAAGGATTGAATCCCCCCCACCCTGTAAGACTTCAAGCAAAGTCTCAGTATCCACTTGGTAGGTATGTTGTAGAGGGAGTGCCTGTTCTGGTAGGAGATGGACAAAATGACCTGAGATTCTGTAGTTTAGATCTCTTTGTTGAACTGCTACTTCCCATCATATCCTAATTCCATCTAAGCCGCTTCCATATTTCTTTGCTGATATGTGAGCCTTGAGTGTGCCCAAACATAAAGCCTCCCTTCTCTTGCCTCTCTGGACTTTGGCTGATTTCTGACTATTTTGGCCAATGGTTCTGGCTGCTGACAAGTCCCTAGGTCTGCCCCACTGGTACTATGGGCAAGACCCTACCTCTGTCTACTCATGTGTAGGGTTTTTTCCCTTCTACTTGGAGGGCATGTGGTCTCTTGACTAGATAGAACAGGAGAGCTATGCATGGGAGGCAGCCTGATAACATGGGGAGACCCCTGGCTTAGAAGTCAAAAGACCTAGATTCTAGCCCCGTTTCTGCTACTGGTTCACTGTGTGACCTTGGGTCTCAGTTTCTTCTTCTGTAAAGTGAAGAAGTTTGATGCAATGGTCTTTAAGGTCCCTCCCAGCTCCAACATTTTATGATTTTCATCTGCATTCTAGGATTTAGGCACAATATTAGGTTACTTTTTGTGCCTCGATGAACTTGACGCATGGGAGGTGCCTTCTTCTTGTCCCCTCTCTGGTACATCCTGAGACTTTGGAGGTGAATTAAACTGGCCTTGGATCAACACTGCCACCCATGTGTCATTCAAGCTGTCATGTAATATACAAGCCCTGAAAAGCTGTGGGCATTGGGACGTAGCACTGTCTATGTCCAAGTGGCACAGCGGATAGAATATCAGACATTGAGTCAGGTAGACCTGGTGTCAGATCCTGACTCAGACACTTACTAGACAAAAATCACTTACTCTCTCAGCCTCAGTTTCCTCATCTGCAATATTAGGGAAATAATACCTTTGCAGGGTCATTGTGAAGATCAAATGAGGTAACATGCAAAATACTTTGCATACCTTAAAGTACTTTGCAAATGCTAGTTAGTATTTATATGGACATGTCACCTACCTACCCATGTAAATACATATGTTGGGGATGTCTCTGTTCTCTGCCCTCTGTTAATCCATGAGCACAGGCAATGGGGGACTTACGCTTCACCCTATTTTCCTCTTCTTCCCCACAGGCTTCACTTGGAAAATAGGATCCAGATTGTTCACCATGATATCACTTCTGGTACATTCCTCTGGACCTTTTCCTCCCTTTCTCACTTTATCCTCAGTAATCTGGCAAATGTAGTCAACTCTTAGTTCTCCCCAGTGGGGCCTGTCCCCAATTTATGGTTAAGTACTGGGACTCTTGCTTTCAGGTTCTTATTTACATGGATGACTCCTCTTAATCAGCTCATTTATGGTCACACACCCTCAGAGCCCAGCTTAGGCAAGGCCTTCCCTGGTCCTTCATTGCTCACCAGTTAATAACACTGTCTCCAGCCTTAGATTACCTGCTCTTATCCTTCTCTGTGTACATATTATAGTCTTCCAGGAGATTGTAAGCTCCTTGAGGGTAGGTGTTCTTGTATTTCCCAGCACCTAGCACAGTGCTTCACACACAGTAGGAGCTTGATACGTGTCTGTGAAAACAAGACTTTTGTTTACTCCAGCCAAAACAAGTGTTTTCCCTCCGCCTTCCACCCCCTGTTTCCCATCCTAGAACTGTGTAGCCAGCTCAACTTTTTTTCGGTGCCTTTGCTTTCACCAGAGGAGCCATACTACTCATGCCCAGTGTAAAGCAAGGAAGCAGAGAAGAGCTGAGTTGAAGTTAGAAGGGGTCAAGGCAATAACTGAAACTTGTACCCATCTAGACCTTCATAGTATGGTTTCATTACTGTAAATGTTAGATGCAAACTTATTTGAATGTAAGTTCTAAAATCTCTCTCTCTCTTAGACACAATTTTTGGATTATACACAATGCTGCCCTTCCCCTCACTGGCATGAAAACTCAAGAGTTGACTCTAGCTCTTCAGGACATTCGAAAAAAATGCTATTCTTTGTATAGTTCCTAGGAGATGAGCGATCTGAGAAAATAGTGTTTGTGGGCTGGTAAATTCTGGGTACTTATTTGCAAGGCTGACTTATGAAGTCCCACAGCTGTATTCAAATGTTGGTTCTGCAGACAACAATCTGTGTGACTTTGGGCATGTCACTTGGCCTCTCTGGGCCTCAGCCTCCTCAAGGCTGGCCTAAATGATGCTTAGCCCTCAATCCTATAATTCTGCAGTCCTCTGCTTCATGCTACATGTAGGCATCTTCCCAGTGAATGTCCATCTTCTGAGTCCCAGTCCAGAGCGCTTTCTTTTGTCCCTTGCCTGCCTGTCTGTGGCTCCTTGCCCCGGGGGTCAGAGGCTGAGTGCTGTCCAGCCTGGGACAGAGGAGTCCTCCTTCTTGATATAGGAGTGAACAGGGAACAGCTGCTTCCCTGGGGACCAGTGGACTTTGTGGTCAGCAACCCCCCATACATTTTCCATTGTGACATGGAGCAGCTAGCCCCCGAGATCCTCAGGTATGTGTGTCTTCCCATCCTTTGAGGACAGGCCTGTATAACAGGAGACAGGGAGGTAAAGGAGAAGATGCTAATTTTCTGGAGTTGGGGGTGGGGGGAAATTGTCTGCTGGACCTGAGGGATCTTTGAGGAGGCAAGTTCGTTGGCTTCCTTGGGGGTTCTTCTGAGTCTACTGCCTCAATCCTTTATCCCTGGGCTACATGACTATTTTAGCATCTGTTATAGCTCATTATAGTCATTAAGCCTGACTGAGAGTGGATGGGGGAGTGGCCTGGCCCTGACCTTTTAAACCCAGGCCACAGGAAGGTGCCTTCTCCTTATTCTTGCTCCAGCTATGAAGACACCGAGAGTTTGGATGGAGGCAAGGATGGCATGAGGGTGATAAGAGAGATCTTGTCCCAGGCACCCATGCTGCTGAAAGACTCAGGGTATGAGGAGCGAGAGGAGCAGGGTGGGAGGAGGAACAGGGTGGGAGCTTCCTGGGGTAAGGCCCCCACTGTTCCCCCATCCCTTACCTCATGGGTGGTCTCCCCATTGGGGAGACTCTGCCCAAACCTAAGGCTGATCAGGACCACCTGTAATGATGGCTTTTCTCCAATGCCTACAGATGCTGCCTGCCACCCCTAATCATAACCTAAGGTAACAAAACACAGAAGGAAAAAAGCCTGAGCTGGTAGTCAGGAGACCTGAGCTCTGCCACTGACTTCCCTATGTGATCTTGGTTAACATACTTCTTCTAGGGAGCATAGAATTTTAAAGCTGGGAGAGTCATAAGAATTTCCTTGAGCCCCAGTTTTCCAATGTGTAAAAGGAGGGAGTTAGATGAAATGGCCTATAAGACTTAAAAAAAAAACCTATTAATTAATTTATTTTTAACATTCATATTTTTTAAAATTTGAGTTCCAGATTCTCTGCCTTTCTCCCATCCCTCCTACTACTTATTGAGAAGACAAATAATGTGATATAAATTATACATACAAAATCATGCAAAACATTTCCAAATTAACCATGTTACAAAGAGAAAAGCAAGAAAAATAAAGTGAAAAAAATATGCTTCAATCTGCACTCAAAATGTATCAGTTCTCTCCCTGGAGGTAGATAGCATTTTTCATCATGAATCCTTTGGAATTATCTTGGATCATTATATTGATCACAGTAGTGTATTCTTTCACAGTTGATCATGAGACTTTTCAAGGGACCTAGTAATAATGACAGTTCACATTTATTTAACATTAATTCAACTCTAGAGTTTATAAAACATGCCATGTACATTATATCATTTGACTCTAGCAACCCGTTGAGGAAGGGAATGCAAATATTAGCTTCCCCATTTCACAGGAGAGAAGACTGAGGGTCATATGTCCTTCACATTCTGTCTTTCGTGCATGTGGGCCCAGTCAGTCTCACTGGGCACCATGAGCTTCCTCTTTAAAGGAAAGCTTCCTTTAACGATAGTGCTGAGTTTATTCTAGAGATAGCTAGACTCTCACCAAGATTGGCGGGGACAAGCCTGGAGTGTCCCCAGCCAATAAAAAGCCTGTTGGTGTTTCTGAGATTTCCTTAGCACTTTAAAGTTTGGAAAAGAATGTCCGTGTTATGGGGAGGAATGCAGGTATTGTTATCCCCATTTTACAGAGGGTAGAAACTGAGGCCCAGGCCCAGAGTCACATAGGAAGGAAGGAGAAGACCCAGAACTTGAATGCAGATCTTCTTGACTCAGGACTCGGGGCCTCTGCTAGTATATCCCATTGCCTTCTAACCAGACTTCTCGTTTCTCTCCCTCTCCACAGAAGCATCTTCCTAGAAGTTGACCCTCGGCATCCAGAGCTAGTTGGGAATTGGTTACAAAGCCGGCCTGACCTGGCTCTCTCAATCTCGGCCACACATGTTGACTTCTGTGGCAAGTAAGGCTTTTTGTCCCCATGGCTCCCTCTCTCTCCATCCCTTCTGGTCTTTCCTATCCAGACCCTATGAATACCCTCAGTAAATAACACTTTGACTGTCCCTGTACGGTCCTCGTGGTCCTGACCTGGCCGCTGGGCCTTTTACTCTAAGCTGTGTCTCCAACGATGCGGATGGGCTGCACTGAGTTCTTCCCACTCTCGGCCAGTCAGTCTTGAGGCTAAAGGAGGACATCCATAAGTCCACCAATGGCCATCATCAAGGCTCAGTCCTGGAGCCAGGGTCAGAGGTCATTCTGTGCCTGAGGAAGAGTTTCTAGTCAAAGCTAGCTGAGCCTTCTGAGGAACAGCTCCCCACCTGTTTGATCCCTGTTAACTTAGATTTTCTTGGTAACCCAGGACTGATTTGAGCTCTGCTGTTCTCAGTCTGTTTGCTTCCCCTTTGTCTCTCTTGGCAGTCCACCTCTCCTGGGAGCCCTAGCAGAGACCTTTCAGGGCTTTCTTGTTTCTCCTGATGACTCCTGGCACCAGCCTTATTTCTTTTTTCTTTTTCTAATTTATTTATTTTTGGTTTTCAACATTCACTTCCACAAGATTTTGAGTTTCAAATTTTCTCCCCATCTCATCCCTCCTCCCGCCCCAAGCTGGCATGTATTCTGAATATCCCTTCCCCTAATCTGCCCTCCCTTCTATCTCTCCCTGCCTTCTCTTATCCCTTTCCCCTTCTATTTTCCTGTAGGGCAGGATAGATTTCTATACCCCATTTCCAGTATTTCTTATTTCCCAGTTGCATGTGGAAACAATTTTTTTAACATGTGTTTTTAAAACTTTGGGTTCCAAGTTTTCTCCCTTCCTCCCTCCCCACCCACTCTCACTGAAAAGTCAAGCAACTCGATACAGGTTATACTTGTGTAGTCATGCAAAACACTTTCATAGTAGTCATGTTGTGAACTATTAAGTATATTTCCCTTCATCCTATCCTGCCCCCCATTTATTCTATTCTCACTTTTGGCCGTGTCCCTCTTCAGAAGTGTTTCACCAGCCTTATTTCTTCCCATATCTTTTAGGCCCCGGTTCCTACATATTCACAAATCGAGGTCCTGTCAGTAGGTGTACCCAGAACATGCCAAACCTCTGGTTCATGGGAGCTTCCAGCAGATCCATCTTTTGAAGGCTAATAATTCAGCAAGAGGCAAGATTGTCCTCCCAGGATTGAGGGCCCAAACTCCAGGAGCGTGGGGCTCTCCATGGTGGAGGAGTAAGGATGAGAGAGGTCTATGGTGATCTTATTCCATCTAACCTCTTGCTACCAAGATGATCAGGTTTAGGATAGACACTGGAGGGTCTTTACCCCTGTCCTGGGCCTGTTCACTGGTAGTGATGGAGGTGTTTATTCTCCTTCACAGAAATATTCCTTGTAGACCCACAGGAGAACCTACCATCACCTTTCCTTACCAACCCCACACCCCCATGTCATCAACAACTACTCCTAACCAGGCAATATGGAGAAAAAATATTGCCGTGACCAGACACAGGGATAGACAAAAATGACCTCCATTGGTCTTTTCTAAAGATTACTAGATTTTGGAGCTGGGGGACCTAGATTCAAATCTGTGACCAATTTTGCACTTCTAGCTGTGAGATGTATGAGCCTCAGTTTCCTCTCCTATTGAAATGGGAATAATAATATTTGCATCGTCTTCACAGTGTTATTAGAATCAAATGAGATAATGTATATAGCATGTTTTGTAAACTCAAGAGTTAAATGTGAAATAAATGTAAGCTGTCATATTTCTGTGTCTCTTGAAAAGTCAGTGTATTCTTTGTGAGTATGTCTGTTGAGGGGATGGTGTGGGAGGATTAGTAAGTCAAGCATTTAGTAAGCCCTCACTTTGTGGTAAGGGCTGGTGACTAATAGGTCAAGCCTCCCCAAAGTTTCTGTTCTCAGTTGAACCTTGTATTTATTTAACTAAAAGAGTGGGCCAGGCCAAGTAGCCGCTGCCTTTGTTTCATTCCTCTTGTTCCCCCAAAGCCAGTTGTTGTGCTTAGCCTCACCTTGTTTTTTTTCACCCATCATCCACTTGTTACTACTGGACATTTTAGTGAAGTTAGAAACTAGAAGTGAATCTGAATCTGAGTGCCCTTAGCCACCAAAGCCCTTGGCTTCTCAGAAGATAATTGCTTTAGTGTATAATTTGCCTGGGGAGAGAATAATCTTGAAGATGCTGCCTTCTCCTCTCTCTAAAGGGGCAAGCATTTTATGCTTTGGACAAAGCTCACATAAAGACAGGGTTGGCAGTTTCCCTCCATTCCAGAAGCTAGGTGGTGCAGTGGTTAGAGCACTAGACTTAGACTCAGAAAGATCTGAATTCAAATCCAGCCTCAGACACTCACTAGCTGTGTGACCTCCAGGAGGGTGGGAGGAGGGGGCACTAAAATGAAAGTTAAAGCAGTAGTTCTGGCTCCGATGCCCATGGACAATGAGAATAGTCATCAATGGATAGAGTGCTGGGCCTGGAGTCGGGAAGACCTGAGTTCAAATCCAGCCTCAGACACAATTATTAGCTGTGTGACCCTGGGCAAGTTACTTAACCTCTCAGTGTTCTAGGCTACGCTGAGAGTTAAGTTATGGACAAGGGTACCATTTGTAGCATTAGAAGGAGTTCCCTACATGGATGAAATGACAGATAACGTAATGATAGCAAGCATTTATATGGTATTTCGAGGTTTGTAAAGTACTTTATAAATATTATCCAATTTTTGGTCTACAAAAAAGGTCCACTTTAAAAACAAGTAAAAGGCCTTTGCATTTGACAAAGCATTTTCCCATTCTCATTTGAACAATAGTCCTGGCAGGGTGAGGGGGTAGTGATTAATATCCTTGTTATACAGCTGAAGTAAGTAAGGTCAGGAGTGGAAAGGTCACATGGAAAGTCAATGGCAGAGACTGCGGGCTCCTGATTGTGGGGAGGCCGGCGCTCTCAGCCTTGTTATCCCAGATTCTTTCAGTAACAGGCATGTTCATGCTCCCCATTGGACCTGGTTCCAGGAGCCCCTTTCTTGGTATGGCACTTTTTAGAGCCTGCCACGTGGAACACAGTGCCGCTGTCCGAATGGCGGCCTAGGGCATTCTGAAACAACACAGGGAACGGTGGCTTTGGCCTGCAAAGGGCGTGGGAGGCGGGGAACCCATCTCTTTTCCTCCATCTTCGTGAATGTTTTTTTTTTTACAGAATAAAAAAAATTGATCCCTCAATTCAATTCAGCACGCTCATTTTATGCAAGAACGTACTGTGCCCAAGGCTTTGCACGGGTGCTGGCAACAAAGATGACATAAAGACAGGGTTGGCAGATTCCCTCCATTCCAGAAGCTAGGTGGTGCAGTGGTTAGAGCATCAGACTTAGACTGTACCAGGGGATGATGGTACACCAGGCAGAGTAAAGGACACACATACAAATGAGAGGTGTGGGCCAGGCTTTGAGGACTGGGAGGAGAAATCGCTGACCTGGAGTCAGGAAGACCTGAATTCAAATCCTGCCTCAGATGCTTACTAGCCTTGTAACCCTGGGTGAGTCACTTAACCCTCTGCCTGCCTCAGTTTCCTCATTTGTGAAATGAATAATAATTACACCTCTCTTGAAAGGGCCGTTGTGAGGTTCAAATGAGATCATATTTGAAAAGTGCTTTGTAAACTTTAAAGAACTATATTAAAAACCAGTTATCATTACTATTATTATTTCATCTGCTGGGTCATGGAGGCAATAGCACCTGAATTGATCCTGAAAGGATGGAAGGTATTTCAACAGAGGGATATGGGGAGAGCTGGGGGCAGGGTGAGTCCTTATTAGAATGTAAGCTTGAGAGCAAGAATTGTATTTGGATTACTAGTACAGTGCTTGACACATAGTAACTATTTTAAAAAGGTTTTCATTCATTTCTTCCTTCCTTCCTTCCTTCCTTCCTTCCTTCCTTCCTTCCTTCCTTCCTTCCTTCCTTCCTTCCTTCATTGGTTCATTCATTCATTTATTCATTCATTGGGTCAGTGGTTCATTCATTCATTCCTTCTTGGAAGACATTGTGAGGAAGGCACAGAGAGAGGAAAAGACTGGGTGATACCAGAAAAGTGAGCATAGTCCTGTTTGTCCAGGTTGACTATATGAAAGGAAGAATTCTGGACACTTAGCAGAAATGCCAAAACACGGCAATAAGCCTTAGGGAGATCACCTAAGGGAGCCAGGACATCTCTGCCCCACATAGTTTTGAGAGGGTGGATCCTAAAGGGCCCAGCTTTGCCATGGTTCAGAAGCAGTCTGGAAGCAAGAGCCAAAATGGGAGATGAATGGCTAGGGCCCCAGACAGCCAGAGATACCACGATGATCTCTTTTGTGAGAGTTGGGTTTCCCTGTATACCATGCTGAAATCGATTCCGGCATGGCCAAGGCTCCAAGCCAGCAGGTCCCCTCAGCATGTCCTCCATTTTTCCTTCACATTTGGGTAGTTTGTTACTTCATGCTATTAAAAAGCTCTCTCTGTCCAAGGAAGACCAGGACCTGGAGCAAAGGAGCAAAGGAATAGTAACTCTGACAGGCCATGACATCTTCCAAGGACATCTCATTCCCCAGGACTGTTAGAGTCTCATTTGTTCCCCAGATGCTGCCCCTACTCTCCCAAACCTCATTTGATAGTTGGAGGCCCGGAGATTTCTGACTCTAAATCAAAGGTTTTCCTCCAACTATATAGTTAAATCTACGCATATTCCCTTTGGTATTTATTCCCCAACAGCTCCAAGCTTGGGAAACATTTGTGGTGCTGACTGTGCCAAGGCACCAGCAGAGGGTGCTGCAGCCTCATCCTTGGCCTTGGACGACTGCCATGCACTGCCTGGGATTCTGAGGACAGCCCCGAAGACTGACCACAATGCAGACCAGGGATCTCTAAAAAAAGTCCCCAATTCTGGCCTCGGGAAGGGCCTTTGCAGTTGAAGCCTGGTCACCTGGGAGCCCAGGACCATGTGTATGCTGTATTTATCAGCTACCTGTCCTCCAGAAAAGGTAGAGATCAAAGGTACTGAGAAAGACTACTATTGCTGTGATACACTCATTAGCCTGGTGTAGTAGAGAGCTGAGGGTGGCCCCCACCTTGGGGCCTGTCTGATTAAGCCCTAAGGCACTGAATGCTGGTCCTTGAGAAGTGAGGGGGTGTACTAAGTGCGTACCAGAGAGAAGCAGTTGTGTGTCAGGTTGTATATCCTCTCATTCTCAACACCTCCCTGCCTCCAACAAAACTATTTTTTAAACGTGTTGTTCAGTCATATCCAACTCTTCATGACCCCATTTGGGGTTTTCTTGGCAGGTACCGGAATGGTTTGCCATTTCCTTCTCCAGCTCATTTTACAGATGAGGAAACTGAGGCAAACCATGTTAAGTGACTTGCTCAGGGTCACTCAGTCCAGTCCCTATCTGGCTGCCCTATTTTTTTTTTCAGCCCCATCTTGCCCCTACCAGACCACGCCTGTGGCTTTATTGTTCTGCCCTGAGCACAGGGAGCACAATAAAAATGAATGTAAAAGGGTTTTATAGATTCTAAGTAGATTCACACAAATGTGTGAATGAAAGAGACTGTTAGAGCCACAGGCTCTGGGTCTGCTCCAAGGACAGGGAGCTCTGGGTGTGGGAGGCTGGGGAGTTGGGGATGGGCAGGGAGGGGTTGGGAGAGGGAGAATGAGAGCCTTGAGGTCTGTATGCACTAAGGACAGTGTGCTACCCCCACTCCCAGCCCCTCCAAGCTGGTATTTTTAGTTCAGCAGCCCAGTTCAGCCTCAAACCATTTAAGGAGTCATATAAGGTCAGGAAGACCCAGGGCAGAACTGACTTTGGGACAGGGAAGATCTCATGTCTGGTCTTGTGATAGGCAGTGACAGCCCTCAGCCAGGGAGAGGTTCCTAACCTTGGGATGCTTTGGGAACAGGGGTGGAGGCCAAAGGAACATTGGGAGACAGAGCTGTTGGGTACTGGGGCCAAGGCCAACTTCAGGGAGGATCTGACTCTAGTTTACCTTACTGGTTTCATCTAGAAATCCTGGGTTAGTACCTGGGCTTCCAGACCTAGAGTCAGGAGAACAGAATCAGCTGTGAGAACTTGAGCAAGTCATTTCCAACCAAGCCTTGGTTTCCTCAAAATAATAACCCTCATACTGTCTGCCTCACAAGATTGCTGTGAGGGAAATTATAACCCAGGTCCATCTATTTCCTCATTTACCATTTACCTCTCTTTCTGTCTGTCTGTCTGTCTGTCTGTCTGTCTCTCTCTCTCTCTCTCTCTCTCTCTCTCCTCTACCTGCTTTCTTTCTTCTCTCTCTCTTTCCCCCCTCTCCCTCCTCTCACTCTCCTTTCCTTTTCCTTCATTCCTTCCTCCTTCTTTCCTTCCTTTCTTCCCTCTTTTCTCTCTTCCTTCTTCCTTTTCTCCTTCCTTCCTTGGCTTCTTGATCTTGACTAGACTTGAAGTGCAGTGACCCCTCACTGACCCAATCCCACAGCTGAGTGTCACAGTCTTTGACCTGTCTGACCTGGACCAGTTTGCCCCTCCTTAGTCCCTTTTTATTTTTATTTTTTTGGTTTTGTTTTGTTTTGTTTTGTTTTTAGGCAATTGGGGTTAACTGACTTGCCCAGAGTCACATAGCTAGTAAGTGTCAAGTGTTTGGTCTGAGGCTGGATTTGAACTCAAGTCCTCCTGACTTCAGGGCCGGTGCTCTATCCACTGTGCCACCTAGCTGCCCCCTTAGTCCCTTTTTA